TCACAATGCATGCTTGCCACCTCCTCTTTTCCCCATTTAAGTAAACCATGCTTTTCTATGTACGCCATGTGAGCTCGAGCTGATTGGTGGTTTCTACATGCAAGGCAAAAGTCAAAATGAAGAGAAACCAGAAGAAGCAGATGATGGCAGGGGTGGTTCAGATGCAAAGTGTGCATGCCAGGCAAGAAAATAGGACATACACGATGATTGGATGCTTCCTCACGCCATTCCCTCATGCAGATGACACCATCATTATGCTTTCTTCCCTCCCCCCGAGAACAAGATCGGCAAAGTCTGATTGGGACAAAATTAAACCAAGGAGGTGCTCCTAATTGGACGACCCTTTTCGGCCTTTGAATGCGTCCCAGAGATGATCAACTTGAAATGTATGAATTGGTAATGTTACGTTGTTCGGATAGAGTAACGAGTTTATCTTCTGTACACAGATGGTATGTGAATTGATGCACTGGCAAATCTTATTTCGATAATAATTGTGGAGTAAACTTAACCATAGCCGTTTGTATGGTGACAAAATCTAAATTATGAGAACTTCAAAGTTGAAATATCGAGTGTAGAGTATCGAAATTGAAAGATCTTATTGCATTCTTGTAACTCGTGTTAAATAGCTAAGGGCATATACACACCCTTGTAATTGAATACTTTTAGCACAAAAGTTGGTATTTTCCAATTTTGAAATTTAAAGAAAAATGCATCGTGAAGTCTTCTTGCACATTAGGTTGATTTTTAACTGCAAAGTACTTTTGAAACTTAGATTCTTGAGTATTTTCTTTTATTAAGAAATAAACTTTCAAAAAAGTCTAAAGAAAAATTAAGGGATGTAATGATAATATTTAGATTTGATGTTAAAAAAACGGAACATTAGTTGTTCAGTAACTAAACATGAATGAATTGCTCATGCAAGGCATTACCTTTGTGTCGGCACTTTGGAAATGAAAGGAAGGAAAATCAACACAATCTCCAATGTGAAAAGTACTGGTAGAAAAAATTGAAAAATACACTTTACTATTCTTAGAAATAAATTATTTGGTTTACAATTTTTTTTGAAATAATATGCTTTCAAATTCATAGAAAGATTGATTTAATTCCAATTAAAAAGATTGGCACATATTGTAAAAAAGAAGAGATCGAAATGATTTTTTTTTTTGGTAAGGTAAATCGAAATGATTTTTGTGCGGTGAAAGTTTTACAATTGCCGATGGTCCGTCTTTTTTTTAAACACGATTAGTTTTTGCATGAACTTTTAATTAATGTGCTGGAAACGATCGTGATTAACAAAACAAAATGTCAGAAAGTGTGGTTAAGCGTACTTGCTTGCAATGAGTTTGTACATCGTTGGTGATAGGAACATACATTGCATTTCGATGCGCTCGGTGTCATCTTAAAACGAAAAATTTTACCGGCACAGTTCATTCGGCCTCAGAGAAACGTCACATTCCACGATAACTGGGTCCCATTTTCCTGTCCAACAACTTCCGGGACGCGTGTCGAAAGGCGATATTCTGTCAAAGACAGGGGGGTCATTGTAAATTGGAAAAGAGCAAGGGGGTGTCAAAGTTTAATTCATCTTAAACGAAACAGAAGAAGTTCGAGAGTAATTCATTTGTTTTTTCGGCTTTGGGTCAATAGAAAAATCGGGGGAGCACCGCGCCTGAAGGCGTACGGGACGGGCTCCTTGTCCAATGATTTGCATTAAATTGTCTTATGAGCCCAAGATCGAGCCCAATTCTTTTCACTCATACCCAGATTCCATTTACCTACTCATAATTAATCCTCGATTTATTAATGTATACGCATATATTATAATGTCAATGTAATGGATGTTTCTGACTTCTCTCGGTTGAGTTAGATTATGAATTCCGAGATTGTGATGATTTTGAACATTGAGAGAATATCGAGGTGACCTCATGTTTGTCTCGACAGCTCCGTGACCATTAATAAACAGACAAGGGGACAATATTTGGTACACCCCATTTGAAATATTCTGGTGATTGAAATTTGCCACTTTTATCAAATTTTGGTTGAAGTTTCATGGTCGGGTGAGTTCCAGTGGGGCGCGATTCTAACCTTCAAAGGCCTTGCGAAATCGGCCCCTTGGGCCCGTCCAGCCCAGCAATGTGGAAGCCCGGTTTCTCCTCCCTTGAGGAGATATATGGCGTGGTCGGTCGTATCGCACAGCAACGGAGGAAACTCGGCCGATCAGAAGCGAGGGTTTCGTAGTCCACATGGAAAATTTTGGCAAGACACGTTGTGATTAGTTGGACACGTCGTCCAGGCGTGTAACCTATGCGTAAAATACTTTGCTTCCAACCCCTCGAGATAATTAAATTGCTAGTGTGACGGACCATGATTCTCGCACATTCTTATACCATTGTGAGTGGAGCTTAGTGGCGTTGGGATGAAGAGTGAGTGATGTGATAATACAACTAGTTCATGAGAGTGTCGTAAGGGTGGTTTGTGCTAAGAGTTCTAGGTTAGAATGAATAAACCTTTGGGAGCTCTAAAGGTGGGATTGGCGTCTTGTGCACAAACTGGTCAAAAGCTAATGCCGTTCTACCGATGAGGTCATGGCAAGCCAAAACTAGTTATTGTGCCTAAAGTGTTTGTGTGTCTTGTACGTGGATGTTATTCGCCGTTGTGTTCTTTAAAATAACTATAGAAGGAAGGCTAGCCTGGTGTTCTCGGCTTGTCAGGCGTCGCACAGGCTATTTCGTGGTAAGGAATTGCCGGCTTGTGACAAATGGTATCAAAGCAGGATCCCATCAGTAGATAGGTGATTTGGGATAAACCCGTGGTCTACCCGATCTTATGAGGGCAAAGAGTGAATTGCCAGGGCTAAAAGGGCTCGAACAACATGCGTTTGTGTGCCTAAAGTGTTTGTGTGTCTTGTACGTGGATGTTATTCGCCGTTGTGTTCTTTGAAATAACTATAGAAGGAAGGCTAGCCTGGTGTTCTCGGCTTGTCAGGCGTCGCACAGGCTATTTCGTGGTAAAGAATTGCCGGCTTGTGACAAATGGTATCAAAGCAGGATCCCATCAGTAGATAGGTGATTTGGGATAAACCCGTGGTCTACCCGGTCTTATGAGGGCAAAGAGTGAATTGCCAGGGCTAAAAGGGCTCGAACAACATGCGTCTCTCATTTAGCTCCAAGGATGGCAATGGGGGCATAGGGAGGAACCAAATTACTCATTGAATAGGGATAATGTTTCTAGATCAATTGGCGAATCTCAAGAAGATGAATGCTATCACGTTTCCAACAAGGGGAGAACCGTCCATTGGCTTGCTAAGATTAGGAGAAGCTTAGTAGGCGAAAGAAGGTCTTGCCAAGGGAGTGCAGTTAAGCTCGGGTGCCACACTTGTTAGGAAGCACAAGTGATCGAAGATGCACGAACAATTTTGATCGAGGGAAGCTACCAGTGGAGTGGAGTTACTTGTTTTGTTGGGCGAGCATTACCATTCATGTAATTCCCAAGGAGTGGTGTTGATGGTTGGGAAATGCAAGGAAGCGACAGGATAGCCCGCAATGAGGGCGTTGCGGAATTGAGTAGGGGGGAACATCACGGATCGTGATTCTTCTGTACTTTCGTACCATTGTAAGTGGAGTTTGGTGGTGTCGGGATGAAGAGTAAGTGATGTAGAGAGAGTGATACAACTGGTTTGTGGGAGTGGCTTTAGGGTGATTTGTGCTAGGAGTTCTAGGTTATAATGAATATAAGAGCTCTGAAGGCAAGGTTGATTTCTCATGCATAAATTGGTTGGGAGCCGATATCGCTCTCCTGATGAGACCATGGCAGGCCGAAACCAGTTGTTGTGCCTAAAGTGTTATGTGTATCTTGCTCGCAGATTGGATACCTAAGCTAAGCTGGGTATGGTACGGTCCGATATATGGATATTATTCACCGCGCTATTCTTTGGAACAATTATAGCAGGAAGGTTGACTTAGTATTCTCGGCTCGCCAGGCATCGCACGGGCTATTCCGCGGTCAAGGAATTGCCGGCCTGTGACACTAACCCAGGGGAGAGAAGCAAAAGGGGAAGGGAAAATGACACAAATGATCTTTCAACTTTAAACCAATGTGCTATGTGGTCCATGAACTTTTACTTTGTTCAATATGGTCATTGAACTTTAGCTCATTGTGCAATGTAATCTCTGAACTTTTAAATTATTTAATGTGATCCTCAGACTTTTGGTACATATTCAATTTAATCTTTATACTATATGAAAATGTTCAATGTTATCCGTAAACTTGAATTAATGGAAAGATCACATTGAACATTTTTATATAATTCAGGAACTAAGTTGAACATGTATAGGAGCCACATTGAACTAATTAAAAGTTTAGGGATCATATTATACGTTGGGTCAAAATTCAATGACAATTTGTGTTAGTGTAAAAGGGAAGTTGAACTTTGACCAGTTTGATTTGATATTCCAAAAGCTAAACAGAAGTTTGGGTTTGTTTGTCTTGACTTATATAATTTCAAAAGAAAAATATCATTTTTTTGTTAAGATTATATGTGGACGCACACATTAACAGTTCTCTTGCAATCTCAGTGAGGTGCAAGAAGCCCACGAATGAACTTGTATCCATGGATCGTTCCTCTGTACTTCAATATTAAAATGGGCCTTCGGTTTCTATCCAGAGAAACGAGCCTTTGGTACCCACTGCCGGATCTTGCCATCATGCGTCTCACGATTGGTTAAAATGCGGTTATCTCCCGACGAGACTATCATCGAAAATCCACACGTGCTAAGCAGCCAATCGCCTGCAAATCAAGTTGACATCACGAAAAGGATCCCCTGCACGTGGAAAGTCAAAGTCCCGATGCATCCAATCCAACACAGCTCGCACTCGTTGAACGAAGGATCTTGTCGCATCTCTGCATTAAAGATTTGCTATCCGAATATTCTCTATCCAAATTTCGCCGAAAACACGTCGACTCGGATTAATTTCAAGCTAATATTTCCATGCCCTCGAACTACATGCCCGGCATATGAAAGGTGAATCTGAAGAACGTTTCGAGCCGCCAAACACAGAGATTCTCGGAGGGCGCAAGCTGATGAATAGATATGAAGTTAGGAAAGTCAAGCGCTGAACAGTAAGCCCAGAAAGGCAAAAAAAAAGATCGCGATGTGGTGGGGGCGGCATCGCTTGCAAATGGGATACTGAATCCGAGAGAGTCTATTCGATATTGTGTTACAGTCAAAGCCCACGCCGCTTTACTTGTTTGAAGTTTTAGATATTTCTAGGAATCGCCGATTCATCCGCAAACCCGTGGACAAACCGAAACTGCTGTTCCGGATTCTGGGTGTCTCTTGCATTCACACCTTTTCACAATTCAAACCAGTGTGAAGCCATCTTTTATTTTGTTCTTTTGCCCCTCGAAGAAGAGGATCGAGAACGAGGGTTCCAAGATTCGTTTGTAAAGTCCCCAGGAATCTCCCCCTTATCCACTTCCAGACACCCCCAGCCTCTACAAGGTGAAAAAACATCATCTTTACCTGTTGTTCATAGTGATCGTTGCCTTTTGCCTGAAAGATTTCGCGATATGGCCGGTTGTTTATCATTCCTTTGTGGGGTCGCAAGTGGGTATTTGTTCTCTTTGTTTATGGGTTGTGCGATTAGGTTTGTTGCATCAATAGGTTGATGCCCTTCGAATTCTGCATAATTTGAGTAGCTTTACGGGGTTTCTCTCTTTCTTTTCTATTCTCTGGTTTTTTAATTTTTGTGCCAGCTCTGTGTGAGCCCGTGGTTTCACACTCTGGGGGGAGCAAGATTGGACGAGTGATTATTGGAGCTCAAGTTTTTAATAATTGCTTTGATGGAGGCACGCCTCTCTTAAGTTTATTCCCAGGAGAGACATTCACATGGGTTTTGAGTTTCTGTCACTGATACTATTTTAATGTAAAGACAACAGTTTTTGGGTCAACAATGTTGATGTGAGGGTATCTTTCACGTAAGTGGCTCTCGTTCTACCGGTGTGAATGAACACTAAAGTGACCTTGCAATGAAGATGACGACGACGCTGAAAGACCACTCAAGCTCACGATTTCCATGTGAATGATTAGTTGTCTGTTTCGTTTGGAGTTGTGGATTATCCTCTTACATAAAAACAGTCTTGATGAAGTTGGTTGTTCATTATGTGTTGCAGCTGTTTGGGAGGAATTGAGAAATGGGTACCGTCAATGAAGATAGATCACCAACAAACAAGGTATGTGACCATGACAATTTGTAAAGTTACTTGCGCTTTTCAGGTAACCTCGAAACTCAGCGTTCTTTCGAGGGAACTTAAATCTCTGGAATTTGCAAAACTGTATAGCTGTCCTTTTGCAATGGAGATAATCCGTGTATACGTCTAACAAGCTTCTCATGCTTTCTTCTGTGATTGACCAGGGAAAGTATGCGGCGATGGTCGTGTGTTGGCTTCTGGGGAACGGCTGCCTGTTTTCATGGAATAGTATGCTAACAATAGAAGATTATTATGGCTACTTGTTTCCGGTATTTGCTCCTATCTTCTCTGGACATGTTTGTCGTTATACTACTAGAATGGCTTCTCTTCAAGATTTCCATGATTGGCGAGGCATTTGATGGATCCCAACTCCCTTTTTGAACTTGGTTTATAACATCATATGACTAACCTTTAGACCAGATTTTATTGCAATCGAGATGAACTTGGCCAAATTTTTAGATTTAGCTGTGAGAGCATTTTCTCTGTCAAAATCCTGCAACTTGGCCAACTTTGTCGGCTCGTTCTCCTTGGTAGAATCTCTCCGTGATCTTCATGGTGTCCTGCCCTTTAGATAAGTTGTACTCTGGACATCACGGTCTATCTCGTAGCTCATCAGAATTGCTCTCTTCTGGTTCTTGCCAACTTTGGTTCTGTTCACAGGATGTGTTAAACTGTTTTGAAGGTTGATGCTAGTATTTTCATTATGCAGTTTCCTTGCAGACTTTGGAGTATATGCATCTTGTTTTAGAAAGACTAGGTTCCTTAGCATGCTCTAATAGAAAGATGTATTGGATATGTCTAGTTGTGACACTGTCAATGTAGAGGTGTATGGTGATTCAGCTTATGAAACTTTGTCTTTCATTTCATTTGCAGAAATACCACCCCTTAAGAGTTCTAACTCTTGTCTACCAACCTTTCGCACTTGGAACACTTGCGGTATTAGCATACAATGAGGCAAAGATCAACACTCGACGGCGAAATCTATTTGGATATCTTCTTTTCTTCATTAGCACTCTTCTGGTTCTAGTTGTAAGTTGTCTTCTGGCACATATTGGTTCATAGCTTGGTCGAACACTCTGAATCTAATTCCTAGTTTTCTTTATCCATATTCCATGATATAGTTGGATTTAGCTACATCTGGGAAAGGAGGGATAGGAACTTTTATTGGAATATGCGCCATCAGCGGTGCTTTTGGAGTTGCAGATGCTCACGTGCAAGGTGGAATGGTTGGAGATCTTTCTTTTATGCGACCTGAATTTATTCAGGTAGGTATTCCTGGAGGGCGCTGCGCTACTTAATAAGTGGATTTGAGTCATTCGATATGTCATAAGTCTTTCTTTTTGCCAAATCTTTTTCAGTCTTTCCTTGCTGGTTTGGCTGCATCCGGTGCCTTAACTTCAGCTTTGAGGTTAATTACAAAAGCTGCATTTGAGAATTCTAAGGATGGTCTGCGCAAGGGAGCTAGTAAGTGCAAGTTTTCATAGGAGATACAAAGATCAAAATCTCATTTTCTGCTGTTGGTGAATGAATCATAGTTACAGGTGTTAAATTTTGTTTAAGATGGTGATCTGCAAGTCAAGTTGCATTTATCATTTATTGTTTCAAGATTTTGAACTAGGACGCTCTGTCAACATAATTTGCCCTCCGCTTTGCTCTTTAATTTACCGGGTTTTAGATAACTCCAAAAGCATTTTTTTAAGCCTTATATCGATACTCTTAATGGGAATAAACATTGATGGACATGTGTACATGTCTACTATCCTTTCAAGGGGTTATGGATGATCTGGTGGTAAGCGGACTCTGCTTTCTACTTTAATGTGACATTGGAAATTATTTTGCTCTTGTCTTCGAGTTATGCACTGCAACTTTATTTTATTGATTTAAATATGCTCCCAAACATGATCAACACTGATTTAACTCCACTTTTGTGGTGCAGTTATGTTCTTTGCAATATCTTCATTTTTTGAACTTCTCTGTGTTCTGCTCTATGCTTTCATCTTTCCAAAACTACCAATTGTCAAATACTACCGCTCAAAGGCAGCTTCTGAGGGATCTAAAACTGTGTCAGCAGACCTTGCTGCTGGCGGTGTTCAAACATTACCTCACCAAGAAGTATGTCTGCTCTTATACCTGAATCAAAACCAAAACCCACCTTGAATTAATGTTATGAGTTTGTCGTAAGTGCAGGCTGAGGAGGATCCAAAGCAGCTTGAGCGTTTGAGCAACAAAGAGTTGCTAATCCAGAACATCGATTATGCTCTTGATATGTTTTTGATCTATGTGTTGACGCTGTCTATTTTCCCGGGATTCTTATCTGAGGATACCGGATCCCACAGTTTGGGTGCATGGTAAGTTTCTATTTGGTTGTACTCCAGTAGTTTATGCATGTAGATACATCTAATTTGTCTTTCCTATTGCATATGTCATTGTTCATCGGATTGTTACTTTGATTTAGTGGTCTCTCTATCTACTTCTCTCTTCCACTTTCATTGTCTAACTTAATGTGGTATGCTCCAGGTATGCACTTGTACTGATCGCAATGTACAATGTGTGGGATCTCATAGGGAGATACATTCCGCTCATAAAGTTTCTTAAAATTGAGTCAAGAAAAGGGCTCATGGCGGTGATCCTCTCCCGTTTCCTTCTGATTCCCTCATTTTACTTCACGGCTAAGTACGGGGACCAAGGCTGGATGATAATTCTCACATCGTTCTTGGGGTTATCCAACGGTTACCTAACTGTTTGTGTCCTTACTTCCGCACCAAAAGGCTATAAGGTTTGTAATCAAACGCCATGCTACTGCATCAAAAAATTCAGTCTCTGCCGTATCAGTGGATTAACCTATATTTGCGATTTCGATCTGTAGGGTCCGGAGCAAAATGCTTTGGGAAACCTGCTCGTGTTGTTTCTTTTAGGGGGCGTATTTGCAGGAGTGACGCTGGATTGGTTGTGGCTCATAGGCAAAGGCTGGTGAAATTGATCTTGGTGAACTGACCGTAGGAGCTATACTCTGCATTATGGGAAGTGTTCATCTGACAAAGTACACTGTGGTTAGCCATCAGATGAGTTCTTGAGCATTCATTCAAACATCGCCTCTTGATCATACGTCTCGTAATTTATTTTGTACAGTCTATGTGCGTAAGTGATGAACCTCAATCCATACCATTGTTTTAGTACAAAAAACATGTCTTTATGAATTGTGCAGTTCTCCTTGAGGCAAAACACCACCCTGCATAAGTTGGTTTTCTTGCCTGGTATGATTTTGCATATCGCGTCTATCCACGTGTACTTTACGTGGCCTTCATCTGAGTTCTACATGGCCCTGTAAATTTTTCAGTTTTCCTTAGTGATCTCATGACGGCACTGGGATAATCAGTCAAGCACGGAGGCACGTCGCCTTAAACCCCTGTAGATACCTTCTATCTGTTCAGGAACTAGATACAGAAGTGAGGAAAATACCATTACGATATACAAATAGACTCATTTGGACTTCCATCGAAATTAAAACTAGAATACAAGCAATGTTGCGTTTGTAGTGGCAATTGTATTAGGATTCGATGAATCAATGGTACCTTCTTATATGGCCTTGAATAGATTCAGATACACACGGAGTTCTTAGCGGTTCTTATGGCATTTTGGATTAATCTTCTTTGCACTGTAAGAAACCATAGGCAAATAGAAGCATGAATACCGCAATTGAAGTGACACTCATGTCCATACCATAAGCTCATATTTACAACCAATATCATAGACCATCGTACTTAACACATGTCCAACATTCTTCAGTTCATTTCATATAATAGCATGGCCAATCCAGTGGCTTCCATCTGAGGAGGAAGATCCGGATCACACCAAGAATTTTCACTGAATGACAAATACTATCTTCTACATGAGTCCCCACCGGGCTGATTAATCAAACATGACGTTGGACTGTGTTGTTTCTTTGGGGGCATATCTGCGAGAGTGACGCTCGATTGGTTGTGGCTCATAGGCAAAGGCTGGTGAAATTGATCTTGGGGAACTGCCTGTAGGAGCTATGTTCTGCATTATGACAAGTATTCATATGACAAAGTACAATGCGGTTAGCCATCAGATCAGTTCCCGTGCATTCAATCGAACTTCGGTTCTCGATTACAAGTCTCATAATGTATTTCGTACAGCATGTGTGCATAAGCAACGAACGACCATCCATACCATTCCATTGTTTTAGTACCATAAAAAAGGAGGCTTTATGAGCCGTGTAGTTCTCTTTGAGAAAAACACCATCCTGCGGAAGTTGTTTTCTCGTCTGGTATGATTGTGCATATCGCGTCTATCCTCGTGTCCTTCACACGGCCTTTATCGAGTTCTACACTGCCCCGTGAATTTTTCTAGTTTTTACTTAGCGATCCCGTGACGGCACTGAATAATCAATCAAGCGTCAAGGCACGTCGCCTTAAGCCTGTGTAGATAACTTTCTGTTGTTTCAGAAACTAGAAACAGAAATGAGGAGACTATCTTTACAATATTCAAGTAGACTCATTTTGGACTTCGATTGAAATCAGAACACGAGCAATGTCGCATTCGTAGTGGCAACCGTATTAGGAATCGACGGTTCAACGATGCCTTCTTATTGCTCTGAATAGATTTGGATACACAAGAAATTTTTAATCTTATTGTCGCATGCGATCTCCTAATCTCGGAGTCCTTAGCAGTTCTTATGGCGTTTTGTATATAATCTTCTTTCCTTTGTACTAATTGAATGTGCAATTATTGTTATGACCTTTCTGGCCTCAATCTCGAGCTGAGAAGGTTGGTTTTTTACTCTTGTCGTGGAATTATACGCGACCAACGTGCTCGGCCTCGGAGACGGTGGCCTCTTTCCAGCTTTCACTTGTAATTTTCTGGCTAGGAAGGAATCAAACCATTCGCATTCCTAGGCATAAATCGCTCGTTTGCCGGAACATTCCCAAGATAACCACCCTTTTTGCGCTTTCCAACGCCGGAAAGGCTAAAAGTGTCCGTTCGCAATATACAGGATGGAAATTAAATGGTGCGAGATACGAACAGGTATACGTCGCCCATTTTCTTATAAAGCACCCGATAAAAAAAGTCCGGAGGTATGTCTATTGAGGACGGATTACATTTGTGTCGAATGATGTAACTGATGGAAAAACGATGCAAATGCAATGCGAGCAGTTCATCATTCAGCATGCATACTAACCTCCCCCTCCTTGACATGGAAAAACTTGGAATAATGGAGAGATCTTGCGCTCCAAAAAGTGCAGTAGTCGAAAGTCACGAGGACGCGAGCCTGTACGAGAAGCTTTTTGCATCCTTCGATGGTCCCTCGACAAACTGTTCTCGGGTCACGATGGGACCGCGCCGACCGTGTGATTCGATGTGATTCCAACGCGAATCATCTGTCGCATTTTGTTGTGGCAAAGAATGCAAATGCGTGCTCTTCTCTTTTTCCGTCCATGACAAGTGAAGTGACCAGCCCTCGTACCACATCTCTAATGTCCTAAAAATAAGGGACGCCTGAAAACGAGCTGAAAAATTTACAGCGGGCCGACGAAGAAAAAATTAGACAAATAGACCTCAAAACGACACCCCGTTCGGCCCGTTTTCGTCCTCTGCCTTCACGTGACCCAACATGGCCCCACCTAAGGGGGGAAGTCCAGCTCTGACACCACTAGGCGAAGACAGCTGCCAGCATGAGGAGGGGCAAGAGCGGGAAGGGAGGAAGGGGCGGCGGAGATGAGGACTGGGCCTCCTCGAGCTGGAGGGAATCGACGGCCAGCGGCATGTTCTCCTGGTCGGGGCTGCACGTGGACTGGTGGGGCGGGCGGGAGCTGTACATGAGGGCCCGGAGCACCGCCGAGACGGTGGGGATGTACGCCGTCTTGTTGCGGGCGAGGAGCCACGTCAGCCCCATGAGCTGGCAGTCCCGGTCGAACATATTCCTCGCCCGCTCGCTCGACTCTTGGTCCGTCGTCACGTTCTTGTATCCTCCCTTGAGCTGCAGAGATCAGCAAGAACCCGTTTCCGTTTTAGCAGCTTCATTCATATTTCTAAGCAACAGCAACGTTCGTCAAGAATCATATGGGTTCGCTTGGGAAGATGACAAGGTCGACTAATGGCATCATGTTCAACTAATGCATTGTCAGAAACCTTCGTTCTTTTGGGTGTTTGTGATGTAAAGGACATGTCATGTGATTTGGTTAAGAAGAGGTCGAGCCTTCCTCCGAGTCACTTTCATGGGCCTACCAGAATTGATTTTGGTTGCTTTCAAAACGGGGAAAGAACATGGTGGATCAGCCTCCCAAAGTGGACTTCGCTGTCACAGACCATCTACAACAGCTTGTTATTAGGATCATTTTGGATATGTTGCTATAAAGTATAGGTGAGATGTCTCCTCGCTAGCAGAATTCAAGATAGGTAAGAGCATGGGTTGCCAAGATAATCTAGGTAGATTAGATGTAAGTAAGCCTAGGTTGAATGCGTGATGATTGCTCCTCGAAGTATTTGTGTCGTGAAATTTTATTAGCAGGTAAACAAGAAATTAAAAACTGAAAGCAGTAAGGAATTAGGAAATGTACCTTTTGGAGGGAACCGAGGCACTTGGTGCAACCGGCGTAGGACGAGTTGCGGCAGTTCTTCTCCAGGTTCCTCACCGCGGCCGTCGGAGTGGCGTTGTGGAGCCCGGCCGAGACGTTGAAGGCGGCGGGGCAGCTGAGCGAGCCGATCTGGTGGAGCCGTATCCCGCAGAAGCACAGCACCGCGTCGCAGCTCGCGTTCGGCTGCGGGAGCCGCACGTTCTTGCTCTCCAGCGCCGACTGCAGCGAGTCCACGCACTTCTGCGAGTCGTCGGGCATCATCGGCGAGTCCTCCCCCTCCGGAGCCGGCGAAGCCTGGGGCGTGAGCTTGAGGGCCGACCTGGCGTGGGCCGCGAAGAGCCACGCGGCGAGGACGGGGCAGCAGCGGCCCCGGTCGAGGTTGCGGCCGCAGGCCTGGCTGACGCCGCCGAAGAGCTCGGCGGAGAGGTCGAGCTTGCAGATTTGGGTGTCGCCCTGGGACGGGAAGGCCGGGACAGTGTAGGGCTGGTCGCGGCCGGGCACCGTCTCGGCCAGGAGACCGGCCATGGAGCGCCGGAACGCGCACAGCAGCGTACAGAGAAGGAGCCACAATGCGAAAGCGATGGTGGGTCGAGGCATCTCTCTCTCTTTTCAGGGGATGGAAAAGGGTGAAAACTTTCTGGGGGTGCGATGATTAGAGGTGTTGACCGAGGGGAGGTAGTATGATACGGAATGCAATACGATCGGCAAGGTGCGTGTCTGTAGAACTGAGAAGTGAGAAAGAGAGGGACTCTATGTTCCAAATGAGTAGAAGGGTTTTGGAGGGACAGACACGGTGTGATATGGACGTTGTGGGAAGTGCAAGAACGAAGACAGAGCGATGTAGGAACAGTCCTTTTATCTCCGGTTCAAGAGGCAACGTGTGATGAGGAACAAAAGTTTCATTATATCTATATGGGCCCTTATGTACGAGATAAACGTCTCTTTCACTGCCGTTTGATGAATTATTTTCAGACGGAAAATGGTAAGGAAAGGAAGGGGAAGAGGAGTGGGTGAAGGACGGGACTGAGGAGGGGGGGTCCCCCTGCCATGCGTGGACAAACAGAAGAGGAGAAGAGATTCGTTGGAGAGAGGGAGAGAGAGGAAGACAGACAAGGAGAGGAGAGAGGAAAGCTGTCTGGGGATTTGGCACCTTCTGGTGCGTCCCTTTCTTCGCCTCCCTTTGCTCTCTCTTTTCTTTCTTCCACAAAAAGTGTCTTGCTTTTCAATTTTCCTGTTGCGAGCCCAGCACCATTGCGACTCAATTCCAGACTTCCTAGAGTGGCTTTTCGCGTTCGGGTGTCGACCTCGAGCTATGAATTCTTATCATATTGTATCATTGATTTCACATTTCTATTACATGTCCTAAAATATTCTCTCAACTTCTTTTTGGAGTTGTTAATATCTATATTTATCGAGTGTGATTTCCTTAATTTAAAAATTCATTACGTGTTAAAAGTCAAATATAGTGGATGTTGCACCCATTTCCGAATCCTGACGTGAGGTTGTCTGATTTTACTTTTCTTTTCTGATTCTTTCTCTCGCCATTTCCACTCTTAGAGATGACCCTAAACATAACATGGATCTCTAATGCAAGTGACCATAGGCAAGTGACGCAAGTGACCATAGCCAAGTGCTTCAAACTTGCTTACACAAGAAAATATATTTCAAAAAAGAGAGCCATGATGCTTGCAACTTTGAGGAGCTGCGACG